ATTTACAAAGTAATTTCAGGAATATGCAACGTTGATGCTACCACTTTATTCTTGTGATCTACTCAGCTTACAAGTTGTTTAAAGTACTAAAAAATAAATGTGAAGCCCAATCTATCATTCAATTTTCCCCTTGTCACAGAGTTATACTAGTTTCGGGAAATTCCACCCCTGGACAAAGGTGAATCGAAATAAGACTAGGCTTCATAAAATGGCGGAGTATATGTTGTATGAATAGTGTTTTGAAGTGTTTTCTACTCTTATATAGGAATTTCAAAGATATGATCACTGTGCGAGTATAAGACATCTTAAAACACTATATAAACAAACAAAGAACAGATGAACTTACTGTGAATGACAATTATCTCACTCTAAGTTTACGATTTTCTTGGTGAACAGAAGATATACTTAATCTCAACTTAGGTTTTCAAACAAGACCATAGTTTTGCATAAGCATATCTGCTTTTAAATGTTATCAGCACACTAGACAAGTGATTAAACATTTCCTAGGATAACTGGTGTATTTTAATATGTAAAAGAAGATACAGAGAATGTCCACTTTTTTTCGTTTTGAGAAATAAACTAGTCTCCTGACATGTGTGATGAGACCCTCTGGAAAAAGCTTAAACTTAATTAAATATACTTCAAACGAAGCTAGTACTTCAGTTAGTCTGTAAGATAGAAAATTAACTTTGTCCTTATAAGTTTGTTTATAGTTAAGCACAATGCTACACAAAGGGCTATCTGTGCTCTGCCCACCACGGGTATCGAAACCCGGTTTCTAGCGTTGTAAGTCCACAGACATACCGATGTGCCACTGGGGGGCGTCCTTTTAAGAGACAGTTGAGTCGTTGTGAAGTCATTTTCCAAATAAGCGACTGATCAGCTCAAAAACCCACTCAGAGTCAAAAAGACTAATTTGATAAGTGTTTAATGGACACTTCATCATTGACTAAAACCATTTCTGTACTAAATAAAGGCTTTACCTAGCCATGTTTGAGTTATAACTACAAGAATGCTGATGAATTATTTAATATGACATTGACAGCATGTGCATTTGTTGAATGTCCAGATCCTCGGCAGTGCTCAGTTGTGAAAGATAGTTTAAGTAGAAGTGACAGCAAAGCCATGCAATACCTAATGATTTATTAGTGAATGGACTGCACAAATAACACATCAATATATTCAGGAAAAGCAAATGAAGGATCTAGGTATAGCTTTGAAATTACATGCTGAGCAAGAAGATGAAGTGCAGCCATCATAGAATGCAGTCTGGATGTACATAACTTGTAGATGGTGGTTCTCAAACTGAGATGCAGTTAGTGGTCCCTAAAGTTCTAAGAAAGAAAACACTCTAAACTGTGTATGATGCAAAGACCGGATAGATGCCAATAGGATCTGTTCACGCTTATTCCAAGGTGCAAAAAAATGTTATTTTTGGAAACACTTACATCAAGATGTTGAAAGATTGTGAAAATACCGTACTATGTGTTACATCCAAAGGAACAACTTGAGTGCCAGGAGAATTCGATTAGAGAGTTGTAAGTATCCTTTGGTGATAAAAGCCCTAGAAATAGCTGCTTCTCTCCTGAAGGCTGATAATTGGTATGTGTTAGTCATAACACGTACTTCACAAAGTAAGTCAAGGTTTCTCATTGGCTGAAACTTCTCTGCACTTTACCACTGAAAGTGGGTAGCATGCTTTAAATCACATGGATAAATCCACATGCATTAATAAGCCAATTACTTGCAGTGACGAAGATACACACTTCACCCACAGCCCAAAGGTTTGACAGAAAAGCTTATACAGACAATCAAGCATATGCTTGTGAAGTCATGAATTACAACCAAACTGATTTTTATTAACGTATGCCCTACTTCATGACGGCATATAGAGCAACAGAGCAGCATTTGATTGGTTGCTCACCAAATGGTCCATTACCTGAATGTGAAGCACAGTTTCCTGTAGAAATGATGTTATGGCTCAATTCAATTACACAATAATATGTGGTATTTAAAAACACCACGTTTCTTTCTATTTTAGCTAATAAAAATTAACGTTTGTTTATTCAAAAATGTTTCAAAAAATTTAGACTTAAATACATTTGTGCATATATTTACGTATAGCTTGAGAATAGTAAATTTTGAACTAAATTTACCTTGTTTTTATGCCTCAATAATTTCGTGTTTTTGTGTGTGTGTGTGGGTGTGGGTGTGTGGCTGGTGTAACTGGCAATTTTTTCAGGCTTTTCCTAATGAATTGTCTAACCTTAACAGTTGTATAAAGACGTAGAAGTATCAAAGACTATGTCTTCCTTTTTGTTAATGGAAGTGACCAAATGACCTGAGTGACAGAGTGAATGTGGAAGAATTAGCTGTGAATGAGTTTGAATTTCATTCATTCTTGACTAGGTTAATTCTCAACATACTTTTTCAATTATGAGGAAATGTCCTTCAGTTATAAAATGTTTATTTTTCGACAATTGACATATATAGTAACTAGTTACTATAACAGTCGTAACATTTTATTTTACATAAAATAATCTTCATGATCCATCTACAGAACTGTCTCTCCGACTTTTGAAGCAAAGGTTACTCTCACAAGTGAACATGTTCAGTATCCACTAAAGCACAGATGGTTTGTCTTTATCCTGTACAAATAAATCAGTTGTTTTGTTTCTTTGTAAAACTGTTATCGAGTGTTTGTTTCATTCATGTCAATTATAGGCACATACTCTGTGAAACATTTTCTGGTTAACTTTTTGTTAGAATGGATTATTCAAATTACCTGTTTGATGATATATGAGAGAACTATTTTTTCTACTGAAATTGTTAGAAAGGCATAATTGTCTTTGTGGAAGATGAACTTACTTCCAATGAATCAGAATATTTCTATGCTTAGCAGTCAAGGTGTCATTAATTTTGGTATATCACTGACACCTCTGGATGAGATGCAGCCCTAAACTTGTACTTAACTCCCATGATGCTCCACTGTAAATGTTATACATTACCTATGGTACTGTTATCCTCTCTTTCATTGTACAACCCAGTGACTCAGTGGTAAATCTGAAGGCTTACAACGCTAAAAACCTGGCCTCGATAATCGTGGTGGGCTCAGCACAGATAGTTCATTGTGTTTTTTGTGCTTGAAAATGAACAAAACCACTCTACTGTTACGACAGCGTAAGTCACGTGACGCCGCTGGCGCATTGGCGCTGGTGGCGAGCGTGATGAATTTCTCGAATGATCAGGGAAGTCCGAGTGTTTCGGAGATACTCTCTTCGTTAGTATATAAGCCTGGCAGAGGAAAGCCAGCGAGGCGAAATATATGAATGAAGAGAGAGCAGTAGTTACTTTGAGTTCCGTGTAATTTATGATTCTTTTAGTTTCGAGCTAGTGAGCCGTAAAGTGTGTGTCTTGCACTCGTC